ATATTTATGTTTGTGAATGTAATGTGACAAAATATGGAAAAGTTCAAGGGGTATGAATACTTTTGCAAACCACTGTATATCAGCTGTAGCAGCATCATATGAATTCTGGCATTTTACACATAGTCCACCAGGAGGCGCCAACACAAAAGTCAGAGACTTCACATGAGATTTGGACCATCTTGTGGGGGAAAAGCAGATTACTTCCTACTCGCAGCGCCCCCTCTGGTGGGGAAACGTTTTTCAGGGATACAAATTTTTTCAGAACACTGGTAGACGGCAGCCATTACAGACGAACATGTGTTTGTTGTTGTTCGAGGAGCGGCTCGGTCACACACTAATGTCATTAGTTTGTTATCATTACTGAGCTGCAGGACTGATTTTTTCACATCATGTCTCCTGACTGGATCTGTTATTATCTCACTCTGAAGCACAGAGGAGTGTCAGAGGTGAGCTCGTTTCAACTGCTTTTTACGACACTGTCTCATTTCTGGACTCAATAATTTTGCCAATATTTCAGTTAAAATACATAAGTAAAATCATTTATCTGAGTATAATACTACCCCCCCAACTTTATGGATGATTTTATGGATTAAATTATACTTGAATAAATGCAGTACCTCTTTTATGGATGGGCACATAAAACCAAACAGTTTTCAATTTGAAGACATTTCATTGTGTAAATCTGACACTTTTCTGTTCACAGTGTAAATGAGGTTTTTAACACCCTGAGCAAAGGGTGGCAGATAGAGGTGTTAGGACATTTCTCCTTTAGATTTAACCAAGTGATGAACAAACGTCAAGATTTGATCACTTTAATAATTCATGGAAGGAAGTCTAATTCAGCCACAAGTTAWTAAAAATCCAGAGTTGATGACATTCAAATAAGTCAGAGATTAATTAATTGGTTGAATGAGTTAATCAGGCAGAGTTTTGGACACATTCGTTTTTTGCTGCCAACTTCTTCAGTAAACAAACAAAAAATGTAAACATGAAAGAGATTTTGTGGTGCAGGGCTGCTTGTGGGAGGTTTTTATGCACGTTTATTTGTAGACGCTTGTGTGTGGAGCAGATCCACAGAAAGCAGAAGTTACAATCATCTGACTAAACAGAAGAAACTGGATGAACACAAAGACTTTTAGTATAAACCAGCTAAAAAAGGCAGGCAGAGGGAGATCTGAGTGGGAACAGGGGAGAACATCTCCTGGTGGAGAAGAGGAGTCAGAGTYCTCTTTAGTGGAGCTCCATCCGTCCCTCCGACACCAGCCCTCACCACCACACATCTCAGGTGGGCTAAGTGGGATTTATGGAAGKAGGATCTGCTGCTGCAGGGCTCACAGACAAAAAGTTCACGTCTTAATTATTGTCCGACTTTCATTAAGGTTTGTTTTAACTGAACGTAAGGATGTGTTTTAGAGGGTTAAAACTTCTCAGTAACTCTGYGAACATCCAGTCCAGGTGAAGTAAAGTTCCAACTTTCTGGAGATTAAATTTAGTCAAATTTTCAATTTGCAACTATTATTGTTGCATGAAAAAGTAATGCTTTTTAATCATATTCTTCAAACTGCTGTTCTTAAAACATTTGCAATAAAAAAGTTAAAACTATTAAAGACTGCAGGCTTTATGGGTAATTAAAGAACAAACTATGAACAGAAAAACTTTTTATAGAGACTTATGTTGAAGATCAACTTGGTTTCCTCTGCACCAGTGAAATGAGAAATTAATAAAAGTGCATCTTCATCGCCCTTTCACAAAAAAATAACTGAATTAGAATAAATCTTATAAACTAARAGTTTCTCAGCAAAAGGTCATTGTTGCAAAGAATATGAAGAAATTAAAACTAAAATTACACAAACACACACACAGACACGTGTATATATAT